TCACACAGAAATGTATACAAGGTCTTCCCTCACCCTCCCTCTGGCAAATCAGACCATAACTATATCCTTCTGCTTACAAGCAAAACCTCAAACAGGAAGTACCAGCTCAATACGGAAGTTATCCGATGAAGTGGATGCTAAGCTACAGGACTGTTGCACTAGCACAGACTGGAATATGTTCCGGGATTCATCCAGTAACATTTAGGAGATTACCACATCAGTCACCGGCTTCATTAATAAGTGCATTGACAAAGTCTTCCCCAAGGAGACCGTACGTACAGTTGAAGTCAGAAGTTTACATACACTTAGGTTGGAGTCATTAAAACTTGTTTTTCAACCACTCCACAAATGTCTTGTTAACAAACTATAGTTTTGGCAAGTCGGTTACGACATCTACTTTGTGCATGACACAAGTAATTTTTCCAACAGTTGTTTACAGACAGATTATTTCACTTATGATTCACTGTATCACAATTCCAGTGGGTCAGAAGTTTGCATACACTAAGTTGACTGCCTTTAAAAAGCTTGGAAAATTCCAGAAAATGATGTCATTGCTTTAGAAGCTTCTGATAGGCTAATTTACATCATTTAAGTCAATTGGAGATGTACCTGTGGATGTATTTCAATGCCTACCTTCAAACTCAATGCCTCTTTGCTTGATATCATGGGAAAATCAAAATAAATCAGCCAAGACCTCAGAAAAAAAGATTGTAGACCTCTACAAGTCTGGTTCATCCTTGGAAGCAATTTCCAAACGCCTGAACATACCACGTTCATCTGTACAAACAATAATACGCAAGTATAAACACCATGGGACCACGCAGCCGTCATACCGCTCAGGAAAGAGACGCGTTCTGTCTCCTAGAGATGAACGTACATTGGTGCGAAAAGTGCAAATCAATCCCAGAACAACAGCAAAGGACCTTGTGAAGATGCTGGAGGAAACAGCTACAAAAGTATCTATATCCACAGTAAAACGAGTCCTATATCGACATAACCTGAAAGGCCGCTCAGCAAGAAAGAAGCCACTGCTCCAAAACCGCCATAAAAAAGCCAGACTACGGTTTGCAACTGCACATTGGGACAAAGATCGTACTTTTTGGAGAAATGTCCTCTGGCCTGATGAACCGAAAATAGAACTGTTTGGCCATAATGAACATCGTTATGTTTGGAGGAAAAAGGGGGACGCTTGCAAGCCGAAGAACACCATCCCAACCATGAAGCACGGGGTGGCAGCATCATGCTATGGGGGTGCTTTGCTGCAGGAGGGACTGGTGCACTTCACAAAATAGATGGCATCATAAGGAAGGAAAATTATGTGGATATATTGAAGCAACATCTCAAGACATCAGTCAGGATGTTAAAGCTTGGTCGCGAATGGGTCTTCCAAATGGTCAATGACCCCAAGCATACTTCCAAAGTTGTGGCAAAATGGCTTAAGGACAACAAAGTCAAGGTATTGGGGTGGCCATCACAAAGCCCTGACCTCAATCCTATAGAACATTTGTGGGCAGAACTGAAAAAGCGTGTGCGAGCAAGGAGGCCTACAAACCTGACTCAGTTACACCAGCTCTGTCGGGAGGAATTGGCCAAAATTCACCCAACTTTTTATGGGAAGCTTGTGGAAGGCTACCCAATTTGTTTGACCCAAGTTAAAAAAATGAATGGCAATGCTACCAAATACTAATTGAGTGTATGTAAACTTCTGACCCACTGGGAATGTGATGAAAGTAATAAAAGCTGAAATAAATCATTTTCTCTACTGATATTCTGACGTTTCACATTCTTAAATTAAAGTGGTGATCCTAACTGACCTAAGACAGGGCATTTTTACTAGGATTAAATGTCAGGAATTGTGAAAAACTGAGTTTAAATGTATTTGGCTAAGGTGTATGTAAACATCCGACTTCAACTGTACATACCTCACCCAGAAGCCATAGATTACATGCAACATCCGCACTGAGCTAAAGGGTAGAGCTGCCGCTTTCAAAGAGCGGAATACTGATCCGGATGCTTATAAGAAATCCCGATACGACCTCCGACGAGCCATCAAAGAGGCAAAGTGTCAATAAAGGACTAAGATCGAATCCTACTGTGCCAGCTCTGGCACTTGACGGATGTGGCAGGGCTTGCAAACTATCATGGATTACAAAGGGAAACCCAGCCGTGAGCTGCCCAGCGACGCGAGCCAACCAGACAAGCTAAATGCCGTCCATGCTCACTTCGAGGCAAGCAAAACTGAACCATGCATGAGCACACCAGCTCTCCTGGTTGACTGTGTCATCTCGCTCTGCATTGCCGATGTGGGTAAGAGCTTTAAACAGGTTAACATTCGCAAAGGCCGTGGGGCCAGACAGAATACCATGACGCATACTCAGATCATGCGCTGACCAGCTGGCTAGTGTCTTCACTGACATTTTCAAACTATTCCTGGTCTGTAATTTATTTTATTTATTTATTTATTTTATTTGACCTTTATTTAACTAGGCAAGTCATTTAAGAACAAATTCTTATTTACAATGATGGCCTACACCGGCCAAACCCGGACGACACTGGGCCAATTGTGCACCGCCCTATGGGACTCCCAATCACGGCCAGTTGTGATACAGCCTGGAATCGAACCAGGGAGTCTGTAGTGACACCTCAAGCACTGAGATGCAGTGCCTTAGACCGCTGCGCCACTCAGGAGCCAATACTATCTAAATGACTATCACGCCGTAGTACTCACATCTATAGCCATGAAATGCTTTGAAAGGCTGGTCATGTCTCACATTAACACCATCAGATGACGTAATCACTATTGCACTCCACACTGCCCTCACCCACCTGGACAAAAGGAATACCTATGTAAGAATGCTGTTCATTGACTACAGCTCAGCATTCAACACCATAGTCCCCTCCAAGCTCTGGACCCTGGGACTGAACACTTCCCTCTGCAACTGGATCCTGGACTTCCTGATGGGTCGCCCTCTAAGGCAGTGAGGATAGGCAACAAATCATCCACCATGCTGACGACACGGGGGGCCTCTCAGGTGTGTGTGCTTAGTCCCCTCCTGTACTCCCTGTTCACCCACGACTGCGTGGCCACGCACAACTCCAACACTGCGCAAGACTTGCTGATGACACAACGGTGGTAGGACTGGGGCCAAGCTCCCTGCCATCCAGGACCTCTATACCGGACGGTGTCAGAGGAAGGCCCCAAAAATTGTCAAAGAGTCCAGCCACCCAAGCCATAGACTGGTCTCTCTGCTACCGCATGGCAAGCAGTACCAGTGCACCAAGTCTGGAACACACAGGACCCTGAACAGCTTCTACCCCCAAGACATAAGACTCTTAAACAAGACTGCTAAATTGCTGATCAAATGGCTACACGGACTACTTGCATTGACCCTTTTTTGCACTAACTCTCTTGCACTGACTCTATGCAAACACACTGGACTCTACCCACACACTCACACATACTTACACTGACACCCCAACACACACACACTACATACGCCCACACACACATAGCACACGCACACATGCATACTGACGCCACACACACACACGCACACATACACACACACACACTTTCACACTCACCACATATGCTGCTTATACTATTATCTATCCTGTTGCCTAGTCACTTTACTCCTACCTACAGTGGGGAAAAAAAGTATTTAGTCAGCCACCAATTGTGCAAGTTCTCCCACAAGATCACAAGAACGGTGAGCAAAAATCCCAGAACCACAAGGGGGGACCTAGTGAATGACCTGCAGAGAGCTGGGACCAAAGTAACAAAGCCTACCATCAGTAACACACTATGCCGCCAGGGACTCAAATCCTGCAGTGCCAGACGTGTCCCCCTGCTTAAGCCAGTACATGTCCAGGCCCGTCTGAAGTTTGCTAGAGTGCATTTGGATGATCCAGAAGAGGATTAGGAGAATGTCATATGGTCAGATGAAACCAAAATAGAACTTTTTGGTAAAAACTCAACTCGTCGTGTTTGGAGGACAAAGAATGCTGAGTTGCACCCAAAGAACACCATACCTACTGTGAAGCATGGGGGTGGAAACATCATGCTTTGGGGCTGTTTTTCTGCAAAGGGACCAGGACGACTGATCCGTGTAAAGGAAAGAATGAATGGGGCCATGTATCGTGAGATTTTGAGTGAAAACCTCCTTCCATCAGCAAGGGCATTGAAGATGAAACGTGGCTGGGTCTTTCAGCATGACAATGATCCCAAACACACCGCCCGGGCAACGAAGGAGTGGCTTTGTAAGAAGCATTTCAAGGTCCTGGAGTGGCCTAGCCAGTCTCCAGATCTCAACCCCATAGAAAATCTTTGGAGGGAGTTGAAAGTCCGTGTTGCCCAGCGACAGCCCCAAAACATCACTGCTCTAGAGGAGATCTGCATGGAGGAATGGGCCAAAATACCAGCAACAGTGTGTGAAAACCTTGTGAAGACTTACAGAAAACGTTTGACCTGTGTCATTGCCAACAAAGGGTATATAACAAAGTATTGAGAAACTTTTGTTATTGACCAAATACTTATTTTCCACCATAATTTGCAAATTAATTAATTAAAAATCCCACAATGTGATTTTCTGGATTTTCTTTCTCATTTTGTCTGTCATAGTTGACGTGTACCTATGATGAAAATTACAGGCCTCTCTCATCTTTTTAAGTGGGAGAACTTGCACAATTGGTGGCTGACTAAATACTTTTTTCCCCCACTGTTTATGTACATAGCTACCTCAATTACCTCGTACTCCTGCATATCGACTCGGTACTGGTACTCCCTATATATCCATGTGATTCTTATTTGTTATTGTTACTTGTTATTCACTGTGTATTTATTCCTTGTGTCACTATTTCTATCTTTATTTTGTATCTTTATGTTTTAACTCTGAAATGTTGAAAAGGACGTGCAAATAAGCAATTCGATGTCAGTCCTCACCTATTGTTTATCAAATTTGATTTGACTTGAAACCTCTGTGTAATCTGTGTGTGTCCAGGTGAAGGTATGGCATACAGGAAGGTGCGTGCGGCCCACGCAGTGTCTCTGGAGAGGGAGGCGCTGCAGGCCTCAGCCCTGGACCTGGAGTGGGACCTGGAGAAGGAGCTACAGCAGAGTTTCCCACAGCCAGGTCACCCATAATAAAAGTCAAAAATAAAAAAAAATGGAGTTAGTGACAAAATCTTTACCTTAAACACTTTGAAATTTGACGTTTGCAACAACTTTGAAATTTGATGTTTGAGAAACATGGATGAACTTCTTATTCTGACGTGAGACTGTGAGAGCTAGTTGTTTTCCCTGAGCTACAGGACTCTGGCCTAGGCTTGGATCGCTTCCAGTTGGAGTGTGTGGAGAATCGGACCATGGACAGCTCCAACTGTGCTAATCCAGACCTGGACCTGGAGCCCATCCAGCCCTCTGAGTCAGTGTCACCCCATGGAAGGTTTGAGCGGCTGCAGTAGGACCCCAACTACATCTCCCACTTCACCAGGGCTCCACCCAAGGGCCAGCGGAGGAGCAGCTACAGCCTGGTCAGGTACCTGCTGGCTGGTGTAGGGCTCTTTATCCTGGGGTTGCTGATAGGCCACTACACCCACAGCACAGACCAGCCCACTCCTGAACCCCCCAGGCACACAGACCTCCTGGAGGAGCTGCTGAGGGACATCACGGCTAAGAAGATCCAGGCTCTCACACATACACCAATTACCCCATTACTCCCTGTTTTGCCTCAATGCCTGCAAATCGTTTAGAGAGAGAGTGTATAATATTACAGGTAATGCATCTTGTTAGTGTAGAGGCATTATGCACAGCAGCAGCAGAACACTAAGTAGACGAGGTGGTGAGAGTCAGGGATTTGCATTAAAATGACATTCATTTGGAAGAGTTTCTCTGAGAAGGAGGCTCTCCCAGGTCATGCAAGGGTGAATTTGAGCACATTGATTGCTGCCGATCGCTCAGCCAAAAAACCTGTGGCCCCTCGGAAAGTCTTCCTCTGAGTGGAAGTTTGACATTCTTAGGAAACAGATGTGGGCTTTCCTGGAACAGCCCCTTAGGGACCTGCATCCTTCTAGCAAAGACAGTCTTCCAGCCAAACATTGTAGCACACTGCATCCCCACTAGTGACAAGCAGCCTTGTTCACTCCAAGCCCAGCTGTGTATAGCTGACAGGCAAGGGAGAGGGCCCAAGCAGGTATTAATGTTAAATTAAATGCCGACAAACTTCTGGCGGCATGATATTGTTTTGGTGCCAAGGATCATGTAATACATGTATATTTTTGTCAGAAAGATAACTTAGTTTCCACTGAACTGAGACAATCTGACTCTCAAACAGGTTTTGGGGTTATGTGTATTTATTATTTATTTAGTCACATTTATTTTCCAGGCGGCAGTGCCAACAGCAGAGCTCAGATTCTCTTGGAGAAAAATACACAATATTGTAACCTCAAGTAACAGTATGATCATTCATTCAGCCACCAACTGAAACTTCTCAGTATTCATACCTTGGATGTTGTTTTCCAAGATAATTGCATTATTTACTTTTGGGGCACAGAGGGAATCCTGCAATCTCTCTCACAAAGTGATGCTCTATGGGGAGAGGGGATATTATGGCAACTCAGAATGTTTAGATAAAGATAATAAAACTGGTAAATGAAATGGTTTTATCCTCAGTATATCTCCCACATTAACTAACGGCATAGGCTTACTGTGCTGCTTGGATGGCTCCTCACTTTCCACCTTATTTGTGGCAATGGATTTGTGCATGATGCTAGTAGGCTACAATTAACTTTATTTAGTCAGTGTACAGTATTGTGTGTTTGGTGATTGGCAATTAATAAACAAAAGGGGGGAATTGTTTGTGTTATTATGAACTACAGTATATCATAGTCAAACTGATGTTTGGGCAGAAATTGTATTTTCCCTCTGTTTGTGCCACTCTAATGCTATTCTTTACCTCCCTGAGACACTCACTCACTTATTATTCCCAGTAATTGATATAGTCCAGCATATTGGGAGCATTTCTCATCCCCACCAATTTAAATAAATAATCCCAAAATCAGATTAAGGGTAATGTCTCCAGAGGGATAAGGAAGAAGAAAGGGGTGCTTGTGCTTACTTAGGCTGACTCAATTCTGACTGAGATTGACTCAGCTCCTTGTGAGACTAACTCAACTCCGGCTGACTCAACTCCTTGTGAGACTGACTAAACTCCTACTGAGACTGACTCAACTCCTTGTGCGACTGACTCAACTCCTGCTGACTCAACTCTTACTGAGACTGACTCAACTCCTTGTGAGAAATACTCAAATCCTTGCGAGACTGACTCAACTCTTTGTGAGTGACTCAAATCCTTGTGAGATTGATTCAACTCTTGCTGACTCAACTCTTATTGAGACTGACTTAACTCCATGCGATAATGACTCAACTCCATGCGAGAATGACTAAACCCCTTGTGAGAATGACTCAACTACTTGTGAGAATGATTCAAATCTTACTGAGACAGACTCAACTCCTGTGGACTCAACTCTTACTGAGACTGACTCAAATCCTTGTGAGAATGACTCAACTCCTTGTGAGAATTACTAAAATCTTACTGAGACTGAAAGCATCCTAATGTGGACACCATACACAAAACACATACAGTATGTAGCTGTTCTTTAGGCTATGGCCTAAAATAAATCTGTTAATATTGGCAGAATACTATATTTTGTAGTATAGGCTACCGAATTTATGAAAATAAACAGTTAATGCGAACATTTTCAGGATCTGGTAAAAGCGACATTTGGTCATTTCAATTTTAAAAAGACTGTCACATGACAATAGAAATGGAAACATTGTAATTTTAGAGACACAAAGTAACAATAGCCTCTATGATTAAATGGATCGGAGTCCATCTGTTACTGGGCTTTCACCATCATCATTATCATTATTTACATCATTCACCAAATCATTTTGTTTATAAGCCCACTAGGCTTAGTGGGCTTAGTGTTGTCATTAAATGTCCTGAATAATAGAAAGGAAAATACCTTGAATACCCCTGGCCTAGGCTATTGCGTGAACACCCAACTCTTACCCTGGTTTTCTGTTCAACCTGATAATTAATTACACCCACCTTGTGTCCCAGGTCTAAATCATTCCCTGATTAGAGCACAAAATGCAGTGGAACTGGCTTCGAGGTCCTAAATTGAGATTTGGTATTTGGTATTTTATTAGGATCCCCATTAGCTGTTGCAAAAGCAGCAGCTACTCTTCCTGGGGTCCACACAAAACATGAAACATGACATAATACAGAACATTAATAGACAAGAACAGCTCAAGGACAGAACTACATACATTTTTTTATCAATATATACACACAAACTATCTAGGTGAAATAGGGGAGAGGTGTTGTGCCGTGAGGTGTTGCTTCATCTGTTTCTTGAAACCAGGTTTGCTGTTTATTTGAGCAATATGAGATGGAACGGAGTTCCATGAAATAATGGCTCTATATAATACTGTACGCTTTTTTGAACTTGTTCTGGATTTGGGGACTGTGAAAAGACCCCTGGTGGCATGTCTGGTGGGGTAATTGTGTGTGTCAGAGCTGTGTGTAAGTTGACTATGCGAACAATTTGGGATTTTCAACACATTCATGTTTCTTATAAAAAGAAGAAGTGATGCAGTCAGTCTCTCCTCAACTCTTAGCCAAGAGAGACTGGCATGCATAGTATTTATATCAGCCCTCTGATTACAATGAAGAGCAAGACGTGCTGCTCTGTTTTGGGCCAGCTGCATCTTAACTAGGTCTTTCCTTGCAGCATTAGACAAAACTAAAGCCTGCAGAACTTGCTTTTTGGAGTGTGGTGTCAAAAAAGCAGAGCATCTCTTTATTACGGACAGACCTCTCCCCATCTTTACAACCATTGAATCTATATGTTTTGACCATCAATCTAAGGTAACGCCAAGGAATTTAGTCTCCTCAACTTGTTCAACAGCCACACCATTCATTACCAGATTCAGCTGAGGTCTAGAATTTATGGAATGATTTGTACCAAATACAATGCTCTTAGTTTTAGAGATGTTCAGGACCAGTTTATTAGTGGCCACCCATTCCAAAACAGACTGCAACTCTTTGTTAAGGGTTTCAGTGACTTCATTAGCTGTGGTTGCTGATGCGTACAGTGGGGAAAAAAAGTATTTAGTCAGCCACCAATTGTGCAAGTTCTCCCACTTAAAAAGATGAGAGAGGCCTGTAATTTTCATCATAGGTACACGTTAACTATGACAGACAAATTGAGAAAAAAAATCCAGAAAATCACATTGTAGGATTTTTTATGAATTTATTTGCAAATTATGGTGGAAAATAAGTATTTGGTCAATAACAAAAGTTTCTCAATACTTTGTTATATACCCTTTGTTGGCAATGACGCAGGTCAAACGTTTTCTGTAAGTCTTCACAAGGTTTTCACACACTGTTGCTGGTATTTTGGCCCATTCCTCCATGCAGATCTCCTCTAGAGCAGTGATGTTTTGGGGCTGTCGCTGGGCAACACGGACTTTCAACTCCCTCCAAAGATTTTCTATGGGGTTGAGATCTGGAGACTGGCTAGGCCACTCCAGGACCTTGAAATGCTTCTTACGAAGCCACTCCTTCGTTGCCCGGGCGGTGTGTTTGGGATCATTGTCATGCTGAAAGACCCAGCCATGTTTCATCTTCAATGCCCTTGCTGATGGAAGAAGGTTTTCACTCAAAATCTCATGATACATGGCCCCATTCATTCTTTCCTTTACACGGATCAGTCGTCCTGGTCCCTTTGCAGAAAAACAGCCCCAAAGCATGATGTTTCCACCCCCATGCTTCACAGTAGGTATGGTGTTCTTTGGGTGCAACTCAGCATTCTTTGTCCTCCAAACACGACGAGTTGAGTTTTTACCAAAAAGTTCTATTTTGGTTTCATCTGACCATATGACATTCTCCCAATCCTCTTCTGGATCATCCAAATGCACTCTAGCAAACTTCAGACGGGCCTGGACATGTATTGGCTTAAGCAGGGGACACGTCTGCACTGCAGGTTTTGAGTCCCTGGCGGCGTAGTGTGTTACTGATGGTAGGCTTTGTTACTTTGGTCCCAGCTCTCTGCAGGTCATTCACTAGGTCCCCCCGTGTGGTTCTGGGATTTTTGCTCACCGTTCTTGTGATCATTTTGACCCCACGGGGTGAGATCTTGCGTGGAGCCCCAGATCGAGGGAGATTATCAGTGGTCTTGTATGTCTTCCATTTCCTAATAATTGCTCCCACAGTTGATTTCTTCAAACCAAGCTGCTTACCTATTGCAGATTCAGTCTTCACAGCCTGGTGCAGGTCTACAATTTTGTTTCTGGTGTCCTTTGACAGCTCTTTGGTCTTGGCCATAGTGGAGTTTGGAGTGTGACTGTTTGAGGTTGTGGACAGGTGTCTTTTATACTGATAACAAGTTCAAACAGGTGCCATTAATACATGTAACGAGTGGAGGACAGAGGAGCCTCTTAAAGAAGAAGTTACAGGTCTGTGAGAGCCAGAAATCTTGCTTGTTTGTAGGTGACCAAATACTTATTTTCCACCATAATTTGCAAATAAATTAATAAAAAATCCTACAATGTGATTTTCTGGATTTTTTTCACTCAATTTGTCTGTCATAGTTGACGTGTACCTATGATGAAAATTACAGGCCTCTCTCATCTTTTTAAGTTTTAGAACTTGCACAATTGGTGGCTGACTAAATACTTTTTT